CTTTTAAAATATTGCATGGTAGAACCAGAAGCTGCTCTTCATATTAGTGACAAACTTTGTCATTTTTTGATGAGTTACCTTCATTTTTGCTTCTACTTTTCATTTAAAATACGTTTCCATTTTTGGCAGGTTTCTAAGGTTCTTCTTCTACATATTAAAAAAGTTGTTAAACATCTGAGTGGCGCACTACCGCTACTAGTGGTGAGAAAGTGTATTGCACGTTATTCAAAATCAACGCTGTCCCACGGCCCTCTGTGGCCCAAAGTTAAAAACTGCTGTTCTTTTGAGGCCCTCAAGGTGGCGCTCACGGCCACCCATAGGTTAAGAATCTCTGCTTTAGAAGATGTTGGTATATTTATTGAACTGCACTACGTGCTTCATTTTTTTTTTTTAGTGGATCTTCTACAGAGGACACGTCTGGCTGCCACTCGTACCAAAGGCCTGACCTCTGACCTCTCTCAGGTGGGGTGTGCTGCAGCCAGGGTACAGGACATGCTGACCACCGTGCTCGCATATATTGAGGACGTCCTGGTGAGTATAAATACAGTCCACTGACCACATTACAAATTACCAGCTTGTGTTTTCTCAAGCCATTTGGGTCTGGGGACCCCTTACAATGTCGAAAAAAAAATACCAGGGACCCCCTCATAAGCCCCATGTTGTTTTAAAAGATAATGTGTTGTCATTTCAACCCCTAAATGCCATGGGAATATATTTTTTTATTTACTTTATTATGTTTATTAGTTGTTCTTCATGCGTTTTAAAAAATAAAAACCAAATTAACAATTTAGTGACATTTTTTGAGGACCACCAAGATAGCTCTCACGGACCCCAGTTTGAGAACCTCTGTTCTAGCTGACTGATTTGTCGCTGTTTGGTTTTTCAGTCTGGAAAGGTCACTGCAGATAACAGCGTGGGTCGTTTCCTCATGGATCTGGTCAACAAAGTGCCAACCATCTCAGCTGAGGACTTTGAAAACATGCTCAATTCCAACATCAATGTAAGGAATCCTCAAAACTGTGTTTATTTGTGCCCAGAGTTTAATTATCTCCCTTACGCATGGGTTACTGTCGCTTTTCCTGCTTGTATACACCACTTGAGCTTGTATTTGTGTTGTGATGATGCCTTTAGTTAGTCGCTGTTACAGATTGTCATATAAACACTCCTGTTTTGTTGCTGCAGGACCTGTTGATGGTGACTTACCTGTCTAACCTGACCCAAGCACAGATCGCCCTAAATGAGAAGCTGGTGCTGCTCTGAGATTTCTTCAGTCATTCTTATTTAATTTTTGTGCTTTTTTTTTTTTTTTTGGCTGAGATGAATAAAGGTGTTCGACAGACATATAAGTGCTTATTTTCTATAAGTTCAAGGCGTTGTCATGTAGGAGTGAGCTTAAGGTGAATTAAGCTTTTCCCACATCTGTCATACACAAGGTTATGAGGAAACTTTTACTAAGGTATTTCTCATTACTTGTTAATATCTTGACTGTGCGAAGTGAAAAGTGACACAATAAGTGAACGTTCAGACGAGTTCAAGTTGATTCATAAAAGACT